CCTTGCGCGTCCTAAAGACCGCGAGGCGTTCGGTGACTGGAACCTCATCGCTGCACGCAACGCTTTCCGCCACACGCAAATCCCTCGTGTCCCAAAGACGCCACGCCTCACCTGCGCGCTGAAGCAAGCACGTTTCGTAAGGCGCCTTCTCGACCGCCAGGGTCCCAAGGTCCTTCTGCGCAGGGCGCCTACCCCACACAGACGCGTAACCACCTGGCGCCTCCCACCAGCTGTCGACGCTTGGAAGGTGGTCCAAGCAAGTAAGCACTCCAGGCTCCTCAACAGGGCGCCCAACCGGGCCGCTCCCGCCCCACACCGAAGCGAGAACAGTCACCGCAGCAAGGACCGATAGCACACCGATCCTGGCGCCGGTACGCAGCCGCCCAAAGGACCGCGCACACGAGGAACAACCTTGGAAGCTTCTTGCCGCGGCCCTGGACGCGGACCCGCAAGCAAAGCACGGGTCATGGTCAACCGAAGCAACGGCGACCCCACAATCCGCACATGCCTGCGGAGACGGCTCCGACTCGAACACCGTCTCAATCGCGCCACAACCACAAGCCGCAGTGCTGACGAGGCCGGAACGCACTTCCGCAACAACCTCGCCCGGCTGGAGAGAGTGATCACACTCTTGGGCTGCAAGCAAAACAAACCCTTTACCCTCTCCTGTGGGCCAGAGACCTGGCACAGCCTCAACCCCACACTCAACCGGAAGCACAACCTCGGACAGGGATCCCTCTGCGGAGACTCCTGCCTCCCGCACGACTGGCACCAGCACCCCATCACCTGGCGAGAGCTCGAGCGGCTCTTCCCCGTCATAGCGGAGAAGCTCACGACTTCCGCCCCCAGGCTCGGTGCATGACGCGTCGTCCAGGCTTGACAACCGCGCTTCAAAGGCATAGGCCCTGTCCTTCCGAGTCCTGCTGTGATCCTCACATCTGGGCATCCTGATTCCCAGCGTGTCGAGGACATGAAAGTCGGGACCCGGCCTGAATCCCAAGCCCATCCTTCCGGCGCAGTCCAGCGCTCTGCCGCCGAGGATAAGTCCGTGCCAATCGGACGTACCCCTGGCTGCGATTTTGCATCGCACGAAAATTTCGGTGTTGGGGCGACAGTCGTCCGCGTGACGCGCAAGACTGCTGCCCCCTTCAGAGGAACGGGGGCTCCCGAAGCAATTCCATGCACGTATTCGGGGTGGACCCACTTTTCGAGTCTCACGACCGGGAAGCCGGGATCCTCAGTGCCGATCCCCAGCTCTGCAGCCCGGTTCATCATGCCCACCACGAGTTCCTCGGTCACGTGGTTTGCGCCGGCGCATCCGTCGAGCATGCACTCGACCTTACGGTCGAGGACCTGGACCACCGTCCTGTACTGGTAGCCTCCTGGCTCGTTGTCCGCCAGGTTCCACCAGTCCTTCGGCAGATCGTCCAGGGTGGCGAACTTGTCCCGCCCGCCCTTGCTCAACGGAAGCGCGTGCTGCTGCACCGCGGCGTGTCCTGCGGCTCCTAAGACGCCTGCCTGGACGCCTGAGCTGCCTATCTGGACACTGAACGCGGCGAAGGGGTTAGACATGGAAGCACCGGAGGGCGGGGCCCAGTTGGCAGGCAAGGCCGGCGTCCCTCCTGAGGTCGTCAGGTTGTGGACCATGTCGCAGCTGGCTCCTTTCTTGCACGACCCATTCTTGGAGAAAAAGGGGCAAACTGTGCCTGGTGGCTTCGCCGCGCCTTTGGCCGCAGCCTTAGGCTTTGCGTTGGCCTTTGCCTTGCCACCTCCCTTTCCCTTGCCTTTACCTTTCGCAGTGGCAAAGGTTTGGTCACCCTTTTTGGCCGCGAGAGCTTTTCTGCGAAGCTCCTTGTCGTGGCTGTACGGGCAGGCATCCCCTTTCGGGCAATTCCCATGATCGCGAAAGTGGAAACAGATCTTCTTGTCCGCTCCCTTGCCAGCTCCCTTCGACGCAGCGGCAAACGTCTGGTCCGCGCCAGCTTTGGCCGCGGCAGCTGCTCCTTTCGCAGCCGCCTTCGCAGCGGCCTTGAGGCTCTTAATCTCCTTCTGAGCCTCGGCTAGCGCGACCGACGGGTCCGCGCTCTGCGAGCCGGTCGCTGTGTACACAGAGTGGGAAACAGCCCTGTGAGCTGCTTCCCTCTGCTCGTACTCCAGGACGACCTTGTGGCTCTCCTCCCAAGTCTGCGGTCCTCGCAACCCGCCATCCTTGGGATCGCCAGGCCACAACCGTTTGTCGTTCCGTATCTCCTTTTGGAGATACGGGGGCATCTTGCGGAGGTACGAGAGATACAACTCTCGTGGGGTCTTCCCAAGACCCACCGCCTCAAGGTCCGCGATCGAAGCCTCAAACAAAGGCTCGAATTGGTGGCCTGTGAGCTTACCCTTAGCGAGGGAGGCATGCTCACCATCCACGCGGACTTCTCTTTCCTCCCGCGATTCCCCGAACATCAAGTGCTTGTTCTTGATGCGGTCGTACACCGCCTGTGGATCGGAGAGAACCTCTCCCGACTTCCACGCTGCGCGGTACGCGTTCTCGTGTACGTCTTCATGCGCGAGCCGCGGCAGCGCCCGCGTAGCGCTAGCAGCTTTTCGCGCGCACTCATACCGCGACAGTTGTTGGCCAGCGCGCAGACGTCCTCGAACTCCTCGTAGAACAAGACAACGTCTCGCGCGTCCGACTTGTCGTCGGTCAGCGTCGGCCACGTGAGGTCAGTTTTGACCGTAGTTATGGAGCTTTGCCCGCCCCTCTGCGCTAACGCTTCTTTCAGCGCTTCAGTTTGGGCGGCGAGTGCGGCGGCGAAATCGCCCGCCGGGTTTTGGGACCCGGTCTGCGAACCTCCACCGTCTGAACCTCGCTTCAGGGCTTCTATCTCCATCTCCAGCGCCGCAAGCTTCGCGCGCAAAGGGGAATCGCCGTCCGTCGCGCCCAGGACACGGGCCGCGGAAGGACCACCTGCAGCCTCTGCAGTGTGCAAACCTCCACGGTCCAATCCTACCCCCAACCCACTCGCAGTCGCAGGCTGTGGGAGCCCTGGGGAACGCGGCCCCACGGCTTCAACTGGCACATCGGACGGGGAGCTCCAAACCTTCTCTTGGCTCGAGCTTTCTTTTCCCCCCAACGCGAGGATAAGCTCCCCGATGCATTGGATTTCGCGCTGAATCTCCTCTGCGTCTTCGGGGTCCTCGCCACCGCGCAAAGCCGCGACCGAGAATCTGGTCCGCAGCCGACGGACCATCTTTGTCGGATGCCAGTCCCCGCCTATCTTGGAGAACTCATCCGCAAGGAGGGTGGCTTTGGTGCTTAAGGCGTCAAGGTCACGGGAGCTCACCGTGACTCCATGCGCTTTCAGCGCGAGGACAATCCGCGAAACGCGCGTCAAGTAGTCCGCGACCGGTTCTTGGTCTGGACGGAAAATCGCGCGCAGCTCCGCCTGCAAGCCCTCTGCGGTGCCTGGCACTGAACCTGCTGTCGACGGCGGACCGGACGGTCCCGCCGGGCGGGACCCTGGTGCCGTAGCAGGGACATAGGCAGCACCGGTAGGGACCATGGCCAGCTCCCTAGCCGCGGCGCTGACGTCCACCCGCGGCGGACTGTCGCCTCCAGCGCCCGAGGCCTCAGGGACTAGCTCGGAGTCCTCTTCTTCTTCCTCCTCATCCTCGTCCTCGTCTTCGGCGTCATGGAGGAACTTCATGACTTTCCGCCAGAGAGCCGCCTCTTGCTCTGGCGTAGTGCCGACCCCATCCCGCTTGGACAACGGACGGCTGCCAGTCTCCCTACGCCACTTAAGCCAAGCGACGTAGCTCATCCGCTCGGGATAGGGAACGTCTCCACCCTCGATAGCTTCGAGGAGGGTGACGCCCTCAGCCTGACCTGCTACCTCTGCGGACATTGCCGCAACACAAGGCGATAAGCCGCGCCTTGGTTAGCAGGCCGCAGGCGTGGCACGCGAAGCGCCGCGCCTTGGTTAACAGGCCGCAAGCGTGGCACACAGTCCACGCGTCCAGGTCACGGACCGCGACAGACAAGCAAAGCAATGCTTGCCCACTCGGGCCGTAGGCACAAGAGCTGTACGTTTCCCAGAACAGCCCCCAATTGTGAAGTCGACCAGCACTGGACTTGCACTAAGCCAATGCAATCACAGCCCGGTCACGCTGTTTTACGACTTCGTGAGTCCACTTGTGCAGCTACGCCTGAGTGCGTCCGGTCGGACCGCACAGCAACCTAGGAGCTACTGTACGACTCTACCGTGCTCAAAGGCACAAGCTCGGTACTTGAGCCAAAATATTGGCATTGTTACGAATTGCAAAACTACACATGCAAAGAAAACTACAGTACTGGTTCTGGCAGCTCTGCACATGCAACGTGCGTGCTTAGACCTGCTCACAGGTAGGTCTTGGCCCTAGGCCTACCCCCGGGGTCGGGGTAGGCCTACCCCTAGCCCTGTATGTCCCGTTGAGAAAATATCCTTTTGCCTTGTAGCTTTAGATGTTGAGAGTTTAAGGTTGGGATGTTCCCCCTGATACTACCAGCCCTTAATAGGGAGTATAGTACCCCCGATTATAATCCCTATTAAGGACTGTTATAACAAGGGGAAACATCCCAAGCTTGAGGCTTCATGCCCCTGAGCCTGAAACCCCAAAATCTCTAAACCCCTATGTCCCTAGACCCCCAACCCCCGAAACCCCTAAACCCCTAGAGCCCGAAACCCTACTAAGCCCCCTACACCCCTAAATTCCGACCCCCCACCCCTAAACCCGAAACCCCAAACCTTAGGACCTAAAGCCCGGAAGCCCCCAAAGAAACACATCCATGACGCCTGAAACCTTGATCTACAACCCTAAACCCTAAACCTTCAACCCTAAACCCTAAACCCTCTAAACCCAAAACCTTAAACCCTAAACCCTAAACCCTAAACCCTAAACCCTATAAACCCTAAACCCGAAGCCTTAAACCTCAAAACCCTAAACCTCAAAACCCTGATCCTGAGAGTCCCGACCGGCCATGCCGGCGGAGGCCTCTAAGTGGCCAAGGTTCCTTAGAACGCAGGTTTCGGGTTTAGGGTTTTAGGGTTTTAGGGTTTAGGGTTTAGGGTTTAGGTTTTAGGGTTTAGGGTTTAGGGTTTAGGTTCGGGGTGTGGGGTTTCGGGTTTAGGGTTTAGGGTTTAGGGTTTAGGGTTTAGGGTTTAGGGTTTAGGGTTTAGGGTTTAGGGTTTAGGGTTTAGGGTTTAGGGTTCTTCTGCTTTTTGTCTTAGGGCGTTGGGTTTCTTAGGGTGTCGGGACTTTAGGGTTTAGGGTGTAGGGTTTGGGGTTAAGGCCGTCTCCGTTGGCGACGGCGCGCTCCGCGCCACAGACGACGGCCCGGAAACTGCTGATTAAACTCGTCTGTCCGCGCGACCAGCTGTACTTCCTTCGGCGATGCGGCTTCTTTCCGTCCCAAACCTTAAACCCTAAACCCCAAACCCTAAAGCCTAAACCCTAAACCCTAAACACTCATGTCCCAGCCCAAGGCATCGGCTGAGCCGATCTCCTTCGTTTCCTCCTCTGTCCTCTCATCCAGGGCCTTGCCGTCAAGATGCCTCCCTCAGCCCTCGACCCCCCCCCCCAAACTCCCCGAACCCTAAACCCTAAACCCTAAACCCTCAACCCTAAACCCTAAACCCTAACCCCCCGAACCCTAAACCCTAAACCCTCAACCTTCAACCCTGAACCCTAGACGTCTTTGGGTTTAGGGTTCTAGGTGTTGGGTCTGGGGGGAGGGGGATCTTGAAGGGTTGCTTGGGGCTTCTTAGGATTTTAGGGGCTTTAGGGCCTTTGCTTACTGTTAGCAGGAAATGAGGGAACGAAGTACCCTATATATGCGCCCGCGTTCCGCGTAATCGACCCCCCCCCCCCAATGGTATCCCCCCCCCCCCATGGCATCCCCCCCCCAACCCTGCCTGGAGGACAGAGAAACCTCAGCCTGAACCCCACACCCTGAGCCCTAAGCCCTACAACCTAAACCCACCAATGAACGACAGGAGGGAGAAGGGTAAACCCGAAACCTTAGCCGCTTTAACCCTGAACCCTCAGCACGAACCGGGGGGGGAGAAAACCCACCATGAACCACGGGGAGGGGGGGGGGGGGGATACCATGGGGAGGGGGGTGGGCGGGGGGGGGTTGGGCCCATATACTCCCTCAGAGGAATAAACCCAAATTCCCCCATTCCCTGCTAACCAACAGTAAGTTTGGGGCTTTGGAGTTTTAGGGCTCTACGTCGCGTGGGGATGGGGGGCTTTGGGGTCTTAAGGTTTGGGAGCTTCAGGGCAGGGCTTGGTTTCCTCAAGCCCTCCATCCCTCAAACCCTCATTCAGCTTAAACCCTAAGCCCTAAACCCTAAACCCTAAACCCTAAACCCTAAACCCTAAACCCTAAACCCTAAACCCTAAACCCTAAACCCTAAACCCTAAGCCCTAAGCCCTAAGCCCTAAGCCCTAAGCCCTAAGCCCTAAGCCCTAAACCCCAATCCCAAGCCCCCAAATTCCGCAGCCGGGGCGCGTCTTCGCTGACGTGTTGAGGATGGGAAGGGGCCTTTCCTGGACATAAAGGGGCTCTACGACCCTTAGGGTTTAGGGTTTAGGGTTTAGGGTTTAGGGTTTAGGGTTTGGGGTTTGGGGTTTGGGGTTTAGGGTTTAGGGTTAGGGTTTAGGGTTTAGGGTTTAGGGTTTAGGGTTTAGGGCACCCAGTCGAACCTGTCCCTTTTAGGCCTTCCATCTAAGCTCATGTCAATTGCATGCTTTCTTCCAAGCCTCTACGACCCAAACCCGAAGCCCTAAACCCTCAACCCTAACCCCTGAACCCTAACCCTAAACCATAAACCCTAAACCCTAGTTTTTTGGTCGGCGCGTTTGCTCCCGGAGACGCTGCAGTCAAGGTTGAGAACTCAGGGACGGACATGGGCGCCCTTTTGGGGGCTATCGGGTACATGAAACCGGGTTTATAACTCCAGTATCTCTAAATGGACACCCAATATATACACTCACCAACATTTGTAAGGAACCCTATACAGAAACCCTAAACCCGAACCCTAAATCCTAAATCCGAAACCCTAGACCCTAACCCTAAACCCTTAAAGCCCTGAAACCTAAACGCTAAACCCTAAACCCTACAGAAGGCCGCCAATGACTAAACCAGAAACCACGAAAACCCTAAACCCTAAACCCGAAGGATTTTGCCATACCCCTTAACTTCTGTTAAGGCGTATGCCCGATAGGCGTGTTGAATATTTCTTAGATAAAACTTGGGATGTTCCCCCTTATACTAACAGTCCTTACGAGGGATTATTGTCGGGGGTACTATAATCCCTATTAAGGACTGTTCGTATAAGGGGGGACCTCCCAACCCTGAACCCTAAACCCTAAACCCTAAAACCCTAAAACCCTAAGACCCTAAGACCCTGAAAACCCTAAAAACCCTAAAAACCCTGAAAACCCTAGAAACCCTAAAAACCCTAAAAACCCTAAAAACCCTGAAAACCCTAAACCCTAAAAAACCCTAAAAACCCTAAAAACCCTAAAAACCCTAAAAACCCTAAACCCTAAAAACCCTAAACCCTAAACCCAAAACCCCAAGATCGATCCTCGGATCCCTTCACGGAAGGCGAGGTTTCCGCCGGCGTCTTCACAGCTTCGGTGAGGGGTTTAGGGTTTAGTGTGGAAATAGTGCCTCCTATAATGCCCGTAGTATAACTAACCCACCAATACAATAAAACACTCCCGGCAACGACAGAGGAAGCTCAGCGAGCTGAGCAGAAGCCACTTGAAGCTTCTGGTGCACAGAGCAAAGGACTTTCCATTTTGGCTCAAGGAAAAGCTGGCCGAAACCTGGGCGAAAGTGATCCTCGGGTGTAGTGGTTATACGGTTTAAATATAAATATGGTAGCGGGGCCAGCTTAGGTTGGTGCCGGCTTAGGAATAGATGCATTCAGTATAGCTGTCGCTGCCTGACGGTCAGTCCTTGTTCTGTTGTGTTGTTCGTTGAAAGATGGCGGCAAGGGAACGAAGTCCTGTGGATTCACCTGTTTCGCCACATACCATGGAAGCAGGAGTGAGAGGCAGGTCACACCGTGGTCCTGGGTTTGCGTTTGCTGGTTGTGGAAGTCGGGTTGAGCCGGCAAACATTCCTGTACCGCCGTCGCGAAGTGTCAGTGTGTCGTCGCCTGCTGCATTGGAGCCTGTTGTTCTTGGGTTGCTGCAGCAAATGCATCAGCAACAGAACCTAATAGGAAACTTGTCCAGTCAGATGCAGCAGCTGAGTTTGGAAGTGCAAGGGCAGCGGCAGACACAAACCCAAGTTGTTGAACAGTTGGCCCAACAGCAAAGCATGAACGTAACGATGTCTGAGCGGTTGGCTCAAATACAAGAAGGCATGCTGGGGCTGCGTGCGTCGTTGACCGAAGCTCGTGTTGCCCCAAGTACTGATGCCACTAGTCCACAGCGCCGACCCGAGCACTTTGAAATCGGATCGGACAATGAAGGGCCTGACGCGGTTGCAGCACGACCGCGAGTGCAGTTGCAGGGAAGTTTGCCTAGGAGTGATCCGTTGGGACCTCTTGGGCGCGCGGAGAAGTGGCTTCCAGCTTTGCCTAAGCCACAGACTGCGTCGTGGCGTACACGTCATGAAGAAATCGTGGGTTTTAGGACGTACTTAGAAGACTTGGTGTGCTGGTTGGGGTTGGGCTCTGACCAGTATCCCACGGAGTGCTATGCTGCTGTAGGATCTGAAAGGGAAATCTTGCAATCAGGGCTCACTGCAGAGCAGGCAGCCCGTTCAGCAAAGCTGTTTTCCATCTTGAAGAACGCGTTTTCTGACTTTGGGCGTGCAGACCTCATTATTCGTGCGTATGTTGAGTTGCAAGGAAGCACGTTGAATGGGTATGAGGTGTTGAGGCTGCTTGCGCGTGAGTTTGCTTTGAAGAGCAGAGCAGAAGCACTGTTCTTTAAGAACCAAACTGTCAATCAGGAGTGCAAATCCACCCATATATCAGAGATTGTGCGGATGGTAGATGTGGCAGTTTGTAAGTTTGCCAAGCTTGTTGCGACGCTTCCTGCTCAGGAGAGGTTGGGCGTAGACATCAGTGAAGCTGATAAGACGCTCATGCTGCTGCGCAGTTTGCCGTCTGGCTGTAGGCAGTATGTTGTGCTGCATACCGCCAGCGATAGTTACGAAGACTTGCGTGCTGCTTGTGTTAGGTACGAGGCACAGAATCGCATCTGGCTTGACCCCACAGGAAATCAGATGATCAATGCGCTTGAGGCCCAAAACGATGAGGCCGAGGATGGCGGTGATGATGCCTGGCTGTACTGGTGGGACGAAGAGTATGAAGCGTTTGTTTGTGCGTTGAAAGGGAAAGGCAAACAGAAAGGTAAAGGGAAAGGCAAAGGCAAAGCTCAAGGCAAGCACCTTGGCAAAGCCCAAGATGCGAGTTCTGGCGCAGAGAAGTCTGCTGAGAGTAGCAAAGCTGCCAGAGGCACTTGCTACATTTGCCACCAGAAAGGGCACTTTGCAGACAAGTGCCCCAGCAAGAATAGTGATGTCGTTTGCTTTTGCTGTAACAAGCCCGGACACAAGTCGTTTCAGTGCCCCGACAATCCCAACAAGGGCGCAAGGGTAAGGGTAAGCGGCCCCTTAACGAGCTTCAGGCCGGAGTGGCCAGTGATGAAGGGTCCACCTTGCCGATGGCCATGCTTTTGTGTGACTCAGGCACAGAGATGCGTGCAGCAAGTTCGAGTTGTTTGTCGTGCTTGGTGTGGTTGCTAGCGCTTCTAATGTTGGCTTCAGCGTCGTTGTGGGCGTTTTTCCGAAGCAGTTTGCGCAAAGGGCGGAAGTTTGTGGCGTTGTTGCTGTTGCCCCTCCTCGCGCAGCTATGTTGGGATGTAGAATCGCCTTCTTGGTGGTTGTTGGACTCAGGTGCAGCAGTTAGTGTCCTGGCCGAGGCAAACTTGAAACACTACAAAGTGCTTGAGTGGTTGCCGGTTGAGGACCAGTTTTCCGCCGCTAACGGAAGTGCAGTCCAGATGGTCAGCAAGGCCCGAATAGAGCTTGCTTTGCCAGTGAAAAGCTCTTGTGACCCAGAAAGAGCTACGAATGTTATCCAAAAGTTTTCCTTAGAGGTCTATATAGGCAAGACGCAGCACAATATCTTATCCATGGTTCAACTGGCTAACCGTGGGTGGTTGTTTACTCTGGGTTTCTTGCAGCAGAGTTTGGCCCATGAGAAGTTTGACTTGTCGGTGCGTGGTTTGGTGTTTTGGGGAGGGTGCCCATGGATACAGTCTGACCTTCCTGATGCAACACCTCATCCCTCGCACTTGCCTACTAATGTGGTGAGTGAGCTGTGCGTGGTGAAGCGCAAAGCTGAAGAGAGAGAGGTTTCTCTTGAAGTTGGCGCAGACGCCAGCAGTGATGATCCTGGTGTTGGTCTTGCAGAGAGTGGAGCTCCTGTTGAACCTTCAACTTCCGTTGGACAAATGAGTGGCCAAGAGACTCTTGTTCACCGTATGAGAGGGCACGTTCCTTTCAACCCTTTTTGTATGCAGTGTTTGAAGGCTAAAGCGGTGAAGCAGCATCGTCGGCGTCGCACGAGGCAAGAAGTGGCATCGTTGGTCGCGGACTTCCTTTTCATAGGCCCGGCCAAACGAAAAGCCCTTGTCATTGTAGAAGTTGTGACGCATATGCTTGCTTGTGCGCCTGTGCATGAGAACGTTGACCGCACTAGAGCTCTCTTGAAGCAGTGGTTTGCAGAGTTTGCCTTAGATGGCGTCGGTCACAAGTGCGCGCTTGAAGTTTTCACTGATGCAGAAATTGCCGTGGGTAATCTGCTGAAGTCCGTAGAAACCGGGACGCGTTTAAGTGTGAGAAAGGCACCGCCTCAAGCTCATGAGGTGGTGGGCCTGGCAGAAAGGTTTGTTAGGTATGTCGAGGAAACAGTTGCTGTTTTAAAGGATGATCTGAAACAAACTTTCCACACTGAGCTTGTGGACACCAGCTTGGCTTGGGAGGTTGTGTTGCAGTATGTTTCTTGCACCTACAATAGATTCGGCGCTCCGGGTGAGCAAAAGATGGCACCTCTTGAACTTCTCATGGGCAAGCGGCTGCCAGAAGCCAAGTCCACCTTGCTTGGCTGCACAGTTCTGGCAGAACTACCTGAGTCTGTGGTCCGTGAAACCCGGTTTGAAGAAGCTGCCTATTTAGGGCACGCTCTAAACTCTCTAGGTCATCGCGTTTCCACGTTTGTGAACGACGAGCCGCGAGTGTTTGTTGCAAAGTCTATCAGACTGCTAGCGCCCCTGCGTTTGAAACCTGAGTTAGCGCCTGTGCTTTTTGGTGCGGGTGACTTCCCCAAGATGAGTCTTCCGCAGACAAAGCAAACAGTGTTCGAGCCTGCCAAGCTGTCGGGCAATCCTCCTGCAGCCTGGTTTGAGGTTCATGGTAGGACTCCGGGTTGCATCGCATGCGACAAAGGCTTTAGGGGTCACGTCCATGGCAAAGCTTGCAAAGCGCGATACTTAAAGTGGTATTCGGACCATGGAAACGAGTTGTCAGGAAGTACGCCTTCTGCCCCTGAGCAGCAACGTGAGCAAGTGGTGTCTCCACCTGCTCACCAGTTGCCAGAGCAAACTGCGTTAGGGGATGGGCCTGCGTTCCGAATTCGTGGCAAGACAGGCCCAAACCCACAGGTTGCTGATGCTGCAGATATCGAAATGGCAACTGCTGCGGCGGCACCCTCGTCTAGTAGCAGAGAAGTAGGGCCTTCCCACCGTGTCACTGGCAAAACGGCTCCAGGCGCGAGTCCCCCTTTGGTAGTCGCCGACGCTTCCGCAGAGACCACGCCAAGTTTAGACAACAGTCAGATTCCCCCTTTCATGCCACTGGCGCCCTCGCCAGTCGAGCACGACTCAGCTCAGGACGCTGCGCTGCGTGAGGATTGCGACATGATAGATGTAGAGGTTCGACCCTGCAGCCCTACTGACACCCAAGAACAGGCCAAGAGCACCATGGATGTTGACAGCCTTGTGGCCTACAATCTCGGTCAAGCAGACCTAGATGAGCAGTCGGCTGTAGCGTTTGTGCAGAAGCTTTTGTTTTGCTATGCTTTGTACTTTTCTGCTAAGCCTGAGTCAGTTGAGTTTACGCTTTGTGGCTCACAAATTCTCGTTGCTAAGCCACAGTATTGTGTGGCGGACGGAACGGGGTTGCAGTTGTCTCCTGCGAAAACGTTTGAGGGCATGCTTGTGGAGCTACATGCTCTAAATGAGTTCCGTGCAGGAAAGCCTCTTTCACAGGCTGAAGTGGATGAGTACCGCGGCAACGGCGTCAAAGTGATACCAACGCGGTGGGTGCTCAACCCAAAGCCGTCAAGTGAAGACCCAGAAAAGGTAAGATCCCGTCTTGTCGTCAAAGAAATCGTCAGGAAGGGTGACCAAACTGCAAGGCAGCTTGCGATATCCTCCCCCACTGTTCATCTGGAGACATTCCGCACGCTAGTAGCTTACGCAGCTCTTCTTGATTTGTGTTTGGTGTGCCCCGATGTGTCAACCGCGTTCATGGCCAGTGAACTCGATGAGAAGCACAGGGTGATAGTCCAGATGCCGCCTGGATGCTGCTATCAGAATGGCTGGCGAGTACACATGCTGCTCTATAAGGCCCTAAACGGGTTAAGAGTTGCAGGTTTAGCATGGTCAAACAAGCTGTGTCGAGTGATCACGGCATTGGGTCTAGTTGCAGGCAGTTTGGAATGCAATTTGTACACTGGGTTCTTCATGGGTGTGTGGATAGTGTTATTAGCATATGTAGATGATTTGCTTGTTGTTTGTCCCAAAGAGGCCACGGGCCTGGCATTTCTTGCAGAATTGCAGAAGCACCTCAAAGTTCGGCACACGGGGACCTTGCTGCCGTCAAGTTTGGGGTCTAGTCGTATTGATTTTTTGGGAAGGGTCTTAGAAAGGTTTGCTGGAGACCGTGCAATATACATGTCCATGCCTCCTGACTATCTGCAACCATGCTTCGATGCGTTCCAGATAAGCAAGGCTTCGGATAGTGTTCCTGGTATCGACAAGATTCTGGAGGACGACTCCTCTGCTGCCAATGTCCAGTTGAGCCCCGAAGCGACTACTCGGTATCGGTCTGTGTTGGGTCGTCTGGCCTGGTTTGCCCAAGTTAGGGGTGATTTGTCCATCTTTGTAATGCTGCTTTCAACGGGACAATCCTGTCCTCTTTTCAAACATGAAAAGGCCCTAAGGGCCATCCTCCGTTTTCTGCGTTCCTGCGAGCACCTCGCGTTGAGATACCCTTCTGCCGCTCAAGACTCCAGTGTCCCAGTTGTGGCCTTCACAGATGCATCTTGGGCTCCGCTTGAGTATTTGAAACGAAGGAGTATTAGCGGTGGGTATATATTTGCTTTTGGATCCCTTGTCAAGCATTGGTCGCATGTACAGCAGATCGTTGCGACATCATCGTGTGAATCAGAGGTGGCTGCCATCGCGGTGATGGTTGCTGAAATCAGTTGTGTGACAGATGTGGTTGTGCATGTTTGTGGTCCGGATGTTCCCGCGCCCGAAGTGCACACTGATGCACAATCTGCTCGGATTGTGCTGCTGAGCAAAGGTGAGACACGCCAATCACGCCACTTCTCAATCAAATGCCATATGATCCGTCAAAAGTTGGCGGACAATGAAGTCATCTTGAAGTGGCAGCCTGGTGTGCAGCTGCTTGCAGACATGGGTACGAAGGTATTGCCAACTAGTAAGCACATGTTTTTCCGTTCCCTGTGCGGGTATGTGGAGCTGCAGACTTCAATCATGAATGCCTTGCTTACGGCAGTGCCCAGTGTGTTGCGTTGACGGCGTGCTTGAGCTTGTCGTGAACAGCGTGTTGTGTTGATGGCGTGCTTGAGCTTGTCGTGAGCAGCGTGTTGTGTTGACGGCGCGCTTGAGCTTGTCGAGAGCGGTGTGTTGCGTTGACGGCGTGCTTGAGCTTGTCGTGAGCAGTGTGTTGTGTTGATGTCGTGCTTGAGCTTGTCGTGAGCAGCGTGTTGTCTTGACTGCGTGCTTGAGCTTGTCGTCAGGAGCGTGAGTTGGTAGTTGCTGTGATGGCTTTCTCCTTGCGTGACTCATTTCGCCTGCCAATGACCGCCGTGTTGAGATTCGATGGGACAGGAGGAACTTCAGGACTTCAGAAGATACGGGCGCATTATGAAGCGCAGCACATGCGTTGTTGGGTTTCTTCCTGTTGCTGAGGTCTTGTCCTGTCAGTCCCTAATAAAGTAGGTTAAGGTTTAAGGTTTTGTCAGATGAGCTTACAACGGGGATGTTTTTGGCCTGCTTACAAACAACAGACTTTGATTATACCCAGCTACGTCGCAAGTTTTCTCTTACTATGTATAAGCTCTTTTCTAGAAGAAGTGTGCTTGTTTGTTGATGTAGGAGTTCACCCTAGTACGAACAAGTAATGTAACCCATCCATTGCTGCCATGGAAGGGAACTCGCACATGTTGCCAACTTGGTGTGGTGGCATCGGCGTGGTCTGGCTAAGTCGACCACCCAATACTGCATGGTGAAGCTGCTTCTGCTGATGCGGATATCACAGAAACTGCTTTCTCAATTTGTCCTTGACTAGCTGTGGTGTTCTGCCGCCCACGGAACAAGATCCAACAGCGTGGAAGAGTGACAAGTGTTGACACGCTTGACTGGCACCGAATGAGAACGAGTGCTATGTCAGCTGTTTATGCCCACAGCGTGGAAGAGTGACAAGTGTTGACACGCTTGACTGGCACCGAATGATGAGAGAACGAGTGCTATGTCAACTGTTTATGCCAACAGCGTGGAAGAGTGACAAGTGTTGACACGCTTGACTGGCGCCGAATGATGAGAGAACGCGTGCTATGTCAACTGACGTTGAGGCAGAGAGTCATATCGCTGTGGAGTGTCACAAGATCTTACATCAAGATCCCAAGGCTGTCGTGTATTGGTTGCTTAGTTAAGCCGGGGTGTGGAAATAGTGCCTCCTATAATGCCCGTAGTATAACTAACCCACCAATACAATAAAACACTCCCGGCAACGACAGAGGAAGCTCAGCGAGCTGAGCAGAAGCCACTTGAAGCTTCTGGTGCACAGAGCAAAGGACTTTCCATTTTGGCTCAAGGAAAAGCTGGCCGAAACCTGGGCGAAAGTGATCCTCGGGTGTAGTGGTTATACGGTTTAAATATAAATATTTAGGGTTTAGGGTTTAGGGTTTAGGGTTTTGGGGTTTCGGGTTTAGGGTTTAGGGTTTAGGGTTTTGGCTGTAGGGTTTGGGGTTTTGGGTTTTGGGTTGAGGGTTTAGAAGTAACTTCAAGCCGTCAGCCCTAGAAGAACCCTGCACCCCGAACACCCCGTCACCTTCAGGTCGGCTGGGGTTGAGCGGGGCTTGAGGGTACTTGGGCTTCTGCTTCTTGAAAGTTTTAGGGCTTAGGGCTTCGGGCTTAGGGTTTAGGGTTTAGGTTCCAGGGTTCATTGGTTCAAGGTCCTGCATCACCATCCGCAGGGCACTGACCTCGATGGGGTCCTGGCAGGTTTAAGATGTAGGGTCGAGGACGTAGGATTCAGGCTTTCGCCCCCAGCCCTGAACAACAGTAGGGTTCAGGGTTTAGGGTTTAGGGTTTTGGGTTTAGGGTTTAGGGTTTAGGGTTTTGGGTTTTGGGTTTTGGGTTTTGGGTTTTTGGGTTTTGGGGGTTGAGGGAGGGATTGTTGTTGCGTCCATGAACACACTCAGGATGCCGTCGTCTTCCATGACGAGCTGCCAGCCCTAAACCCTAAACCCTAAACCCTAAACGCTAAACCCTAAACCCTAAACCCTAAGCCCTAAACCCAGAGGGCCCGGAACGTCAGGGAACCGTCATCACACAACCCCCAATGACCCCCAAACCCTCCCTAAACGCCCTAAGCCACAAGCTACCTAAAGCCCAAACCCCCTAACTTAAACGAGGTTGGCCCTCTAACCGTAGGCTAGGTACAAGCCTTACTATGGGCCCTTCAATTGTGGAACCCTTACATACACATTTCCTCAGATTGCTCCTCTGAGATACGATCCTTAGGGTTGAGGGCTTTGGGGTCTCCGTAAGGTTCCGGGCTTAGAGTTGAGGGTTTAGGGTGTAGGGCTTAAGGTTGTACGGTTGAGGGCTTAGGGTTGAGGGCTTTGGGTCTAGGGTTCCCTAAACCCTATAATCTCAATCATGCGAGCATGCGACATCTCCACAGGGCCTAAAGCTGCTTCACCTTTGGAGCCTCCCTTGGAGCCTAGCACCTGACCTGAACCCGAAACGCGAAACACCAAAAACACACCAAAACAAAAAAGAGAGCCTCCTCCATCCCTAAACCCTAAACCCTAAACCCTAAACCCTAGACCCTAAGCCCTAAGCCCTAAACCCTAACGCCGAAAGGTCCGAGGCCCCGGCTCCTAGCGCGGTGCCCGTCCCGTGGCATTCCTTGCGACGAAATGCCGTTTGAAGGGTTTCGGGTTTAGGGTTTAGGGACAAAATTTGGGGTTTGGGGTTTCGGGTTTGGGGTTAGGGTTTAGGGTTTGGGGTTTGGGGTTTAGGGTTTAGGGTTTAGGGTTTGGGGTTTAGGGCTTAGGGTTTAGGGCTAGGGTTGGGGTTTAGGGTTTAGGAGGTTTGGGGTGTAGGGGGTTTGGGGACCGCCCAAGCCGAAACCCCAAACCCTTAAGCGGCCCAAAGCCCAAAAACCCTGAAGCCCCTAACCCTTGAACCCCTAAACCCCCTCAAGATAAAGTGGTAATGGGACATCTACATGAGAAAAATGTGGCTCGCATAGAAGACAAAAAGATGCTTCAGGTGATCTAGATATTTCGAAAAAAAACATAGTTTTTATGTAATGACTATTTAAAAGAATTTACTCAAGTTTTCAAAGAGGTAAACTTCGTAGCAGATGATGTTACTGCGCCCGAAAGCGTCACCCGCCAGGCCATCCTCAACTTCGGCTTGCCAAGCTTTCTGGCGAGCTCGCTCCAACGCACGGGGGCGATGGGTGCAGGACCACTGCCAGCACGTTCTGGGCGGATGCGCAGCTCACGGTTGTGTGAACGCAGCTTCCGGAACAAGGCCCCGTCAACAGCCTCAAGCCTGGCAGCCAACCTTCTTGGGGGGATTTTGGGGTGAGCAGGGGCTGCCAGGATGTTTGCGATGCGGCCAGGCTGCTCAGAGGACCCAGAAGCCCCAAACCCAAAGCCCTACATCCCTAAAAACCCTGAATCCCTAAACCCTAAGCCCCTTAACCCTAGATACCCAAACCCTAAATCCCTAAACCCTAAGCCCCTTAACTCCTAAACCCCTTAAACCCTAAATCCCCAAAGCCCTAAACCCCACGCTTTGGGATGTTCCCCGATTAGAATCCCCACTCAGGACTGTTAGTATAAGGTAAACCCTTCAAACCCGAAATCCCTAAACCCTAAACCCCTAAATCCCTAAAACCCCAAATCCCTAAACCCCTAGATCTCCTAAATCCCCTAAACCCTTAAAGCCCTTAAAACCACATGGTCACGCCCTAAACCCTAAACCCCAATCCCTAAACCCGAAACCCTAAACCCGAAACCCTAAACCCTAAACCTAAAACCCTAAACCCCACGCCCTTAGAACCACAGGGCGAGGCTCGGCCACGTTGATCTCCGAGGCAGAGAGCTTCGACTCCAGCATGGAAGTTCTGGCAACGAAGCGGGGGTTCGAGGGCTTGAGGGTTTATGGTTTAGGGTATATACAGGGTTTAGGGTTTGGGGTTTGGGGTGTGGGGTTTGGGGTTTGGGGTTTAGGGTTTAGGGTGTTTGAGGGTTTTTGAGAGGGCTTAGGGGGTTTTAGGGTCTGAGGGCCTGGAGTTTAGCGTTTAAGGTTTAGGGGTTTAGGCTTTCTATGGGGTGAAGTGACACAGGGTTTGGGGGTCTCAGGGTTTGGGGGCTTAAGGGTCCAGGGTTTGAGACCCTAAACCCTAAACCCTAAACCCTAAACCCTAAACCCTAAACCCTAAACCCTAAACCCTAAACCCTAAACCCTAAACCCTAAACCCTAACGCTGATATTGGGTTTAGAGGTTGAGCGCTTGAGGGTTTCAGGGGTTCCAAGGCTTCAGCTTCACAGGCGCCGGCGGAAATCTCCGAAAACCTAAACCCCAAACCCCCCTGGGTTTAGGGTTTAGGGTTTAGGGTTTAGGGTTTAGGGTGTAGGGTTTAGGGTTTAGGGTTTAGGGTTCAGGGCTCAGGGTTTAGGACCCTAACCCTCAAACCCTAGACCTCTCCCTCTAAATCCTATCTTCTATATAAACCCTGAGCCTCAAGCCCCCTACTTGGAGGCTCATGGTACTTATAACCTATAACCCAACAATAGCTGTACTTCTAACCCACTTATAAGCCCCTTCAGTGCCCTGACTGCGGTTATCCAAGTATAAGAAGGGGTTTGGGAGGTTCATGGTACTTATAACCCAATTATAGCTGTAACCTACTTATAAGCCCTTAAGTGCCTTAATGTGGTTGCTAAGTTTACAGTCGTAACTGGGTTCTAAATTCCATGAACCTCGAAGTAGAGTCCCTCCGAAAGACCCTCCGATCTTTGGATCCCGGCACTTGGGCGCTGAGTTTAGGGTTTAGGGATTAGGGTTTAGGGTTTAGGGTTTAGGGTTTAGGGTTTAGGGTTTAGGGTTTAGGGTTTAGGGTTTAGGGTTTAGGGTTTAGGGTTTAGGGGCTTTAGGGATTAGGGTCGAGGGTTCATAGGGTTTATAGAAGGGTTTTTAGGGCTTAAGGCCTAGGGTCTAGGGTTCGGGGTCTGGGGTTTAGAAGGGGTTTGGGAGGTTCATGGTACTTGTAACCCAATTATAGCTGTAACCTACTTATAAGCCCTTAGGTGCCCTAATGTGGTTGCTAAGTACCATGAACCTCCAAGTAGGGTCTGGGGTTTCGCGTTGTTTAACGGGAAAGTTTGGTGGACCCTAAACCCTAAACCCTAAACCCTAAACCCTAAACCCTAAACCCTCGGGGGTGCGCATTTTTCTCCGAGGGATCAGCGGCCGACGGCTTGCAGCAGCTCCTTTACCTATACTGAAGCTGCTGTTTCTTCGGAATTACAGACCCTAAACCCTAACCCCTAAACCCTAAACCCTAAACCCTAAACCCTAAACCCTAAACCACCGAAAAAATCAAAATAAAAAAAGCTGATTCCCAAGAATTCCCAAAGGTACGGAGCTGCTGTCGCCTCCTTCCTCCGGGTTGCCCCAGGTCACCACGGAGCCATCGCTGAGGATGGCGGCCTTGGAGCCATGGGGTTTAGGGTTTAGGGTTTGGGTTTAGGGTTTAGGGTTTAGGGTTTAGGGTTTAGGGTTTAGGGTTTAGGGTTTAGGGTTTAGGGTTTAGGGTTTAGGTTTAGGGTTTAGGGTTTAGGGTTTAGGTTTAGGGTTTAGGGTTTAGGGTTTAGGGTTTAGGGTTTAGGGTTTAGGGTTTTAGGGTTTTAGGGTTTTAGGGTTTAGGGTTTAGGGTTTTAGGGTTTTGGGTTTTAGGGTTTTAGGGTTTAGGGTTTTAGGGTTTTGGGGTTTAGGGTTTAGGGTAGCCATATTATAAGTACGGGTACCCTTGTGGGGTTGGTTGCTCTAGCATGGAAGCTCCAACACAAGGGCAGGGCAGGGCATCGCTGGGCTACCAAGCGGCAAAGGCCGTGCCTGTCGCCTGTATCTGCTGCACGTCGCGCAGCTGCCCCTGCACTTCCTAGGCTTGGCACTGAAAACCCTCTGAAAGATATTGCTAAATATGACCCTCTTACACCCAACAAGGGGATTTAGGGTTTAGGGTTTAGGGGCTAGGGTTTGGGGTTTAGAGCTTGGGGTTTAGGGTTTAGGGTTTAGGGTTAGAAGCCTCTGCAAAAAAACCCTAAATATGACTCTCTTAAACGCCAATAAGGGGATAATAAAATTTCCCAAGGGCCTACCCAGCTTCTTTGCTGCAGCTGCCACCACCATCGGGCTCGCCCCAGGTCACGACAGAGCCATCCTCAAGGATAGCGGCGAAGGCGGTCGCAGTGGCCTGGAGGTGCCGGACGTTGCGCAGCTGCCGGGACACGTCCTGGCTGTCGCCACCTTCGTTGGGTTTAGGGTTTAGGGTTTCGGGTTTAGGGCTTAGGGCTTGGGGCTTAGGGCTTAGGGCTTAGGGCTTAGGGCTTAGGGTTTAGGGCTTAGGGCTTAGGGCTTAGGGTTTAGGGTTTAGGGTTTCGGGTTTCGGGTTTAGGGTTTGGGGTTTAGGGTTTAGGGTGGTTTAGGGTTTAGGGTTTAGGGTCGCCACCTTCGTTGGGGTTGCCCCAGGTCACGACGGAGCCATCCGGCAGCAGGGCCGCGAAGGCGCTGTCGGTCGCCTGGAGCTCTTGGGATTCAACCCTAAACCCTGCACCCTAAACCCTAAACCCTAAACCCGAAACCCTAAACCCTAAGCCCTAAACCCCAAACCCCAAACCCCAAGGGTCGCCTGGAGCTCCTCCACCACCCCGATCTGGTCCTCCACCTCCTCAACGTCCGCGCCGGCATCGGGATCGCCCCAAGTCACCAGAGAGCCATCCTCCACGGGTTTAGGGTTTAGGGTTTAGGGTTTAGGGTTTAGGGTTTAGGGTTTAGGGTTTAGGGTTTTGGGTGTTCCCCTACATTCCCCCCTAGGCTCCCCCCAAATGAACATTTAGGGATACGTAAGGCGACTTGAGGTGATTTGAGGCGGGACCCTAGCCGGGGGGGGGATGATATAGAGGGGGGTAGTAGCCCTAAACCCCAAACCCCAAACCCCAAACCCTAAACCCTAAACCCTAAACCCTAAACCCTACACCCTACACCCTAAACCCTAAACCCTAAACCCTAAACAGGGTAGTATTGAGGGGGGGTCATTTCGTAGGGAACACCCACATCATGAGGTCCTTCAGGATGGCCGCGAAGGCGGTGTCCGAGGACTGGATCCGACTCACGCCGACCAGGAGCTCCTCGATGCTCCCCTTAGAACCTTGATGAAAATATTAGGGTTTAGGGTTTCGGGTTTAGGGTTTAGGGTTTAGGGTTTAGGGTTTAGGGTTTCGGGTTTCGGGTTTAGGGTTTAGGGTTTAAGGTTTAGGGTTTAGGGTTTACGGTTTAGGGTTGAGGGTTTAGGGTTGAGGGTGTATGATATAGTCCTGGACGTCGCTGCTGTCTCCGCCGGCGTCCGGGTCGCCCCAGGTCACCACCGACCCATCCTCCTTTATCCTCGGCTTCTTGATAGAGGATGAAGAAGGAACCCTAAACCCTAAACCCTAAACCCTAACCCCTAAACCCTAAACCCTAAACCCAAAACCCTAAACCTTTAGAGATGTTTTTAGGGGCCCGCCCTGGAAGTAGGGATGTTTTGGGGGGTTTGGGGCTTCGTGGCTTTTTTGGCTGGGGCGATGCGCCCCAGCGTACGGTAGGACCGATGTCTAGGCCTTACAAGGAAAGCATGACTGTATTGAAGGGTTTAGGGTTTACCCTAAACCCTAAACCCTAAACCCTAAACCCTAAACCCTAAACCCTAAACCCTAAAAACTCTTTGATGACGTTGACAAGAAACCCTATGAACTCGAAAAAAAAAAAGTTACACCGGCGAAGACCCCACAAACTGTGTTTTTAAGGGGGAACGTCCCACATGAAGGGAAACTGGGAGACACAAGCCACCGGAAATTTGGCAGGCCCATCCCAACAACAGCTACTTGAATAAACGAAAAGAAAAACCCGCCGAAACCCTGAACCGAACCCTAAAACCCCAACGCGACACCCCAAACGCCTAAACGCCTACACCCCAAACCCTAAAACCTAAAACCCCAAACCCCAAACCCTAAACCCCAAACCTAAACCCGAAACCCGAAAACCCTAAACCCGAAACCCGAAAACCCCAAACCCTAAACCCTAAACCCTAAACCCTAACCCTAAACCCTGAACCCTTAAGCCCTTGGTGTCCGAGAGTCGCAGCAAAGGCGCCCCTGTTCGCCTGAATCGCGCAGACGCCCGTCAGGTCACCGCGCACGGCGTCGCTGTCGCCGCCGAAGTCGGGATAGCCCCAGGTGACCTGAGATCCCAGGGGCTTGGTTTTTAGAGTGTTTCTGGGGTTTAGGGTTTCGGGTTTAGGGTTTGGGGTTTGGGGTTTGGGGTTTGGGGTTTAGGGTTTAGGGTTTCGGGTTTAGGGTTTAGGGTTTAGGGTTTAGGGTGCACGCTTTAGGGTTTAGGGTTTAGAGTTTAGGGTTTAGGGTTTAGGGCCCCAACTACACCCAGTGACCACGGAGCCGTCACCCAGGAGCGCGGCGAAAGCCATCGCGGTGGCCTGAATCTCCCGGACATCGTGCAGGCGCTCCTCCCAGGTTCAGGGTTGAGGGAAGCGGCCACATTCGGAAAATAAAGCGGCCAAATTCGGAAAAAAAAGCGGCCAAACTCGGAAAGTCAATGAAGGTTTATATGGTAGAGAGGGTTTAGGGTGCAGGGTTCAGGGTTTTGGGGATTAGGGTTCAGGGACTTCAGGGCACGTTTTTATAGCGGGTGTAAAGGCTTAGGGCTTAAACCGTATGGGATCATAAAGCTACGCATGTTGCCAGCGAAAGAGGGATCCATTAAAGTGCCCACCTGGAAAAATGTTTTGCTCTGTCATATCTGACTGAGTGGATGCCAAAACCCCTTGCTTGTGCTAATGCGTGC